CCTTTCTAACTTCCTGCTAGGATAGAAGTGTCTAGGAAGGGACCTAGGATGCTGGGTCCATGGACTAGCCTGGAAGGCTGGAACAGTGGAAAATGAAGATCCAGGGAGTGAGGCCAGCAAACAGAGACCAACCAGATAGTGTATGGTCACCTAAGAATGTGATGGGAAGAATGACAGAAGAAAAGTCACTCAGGAAGGCTATCAAGCACTAATCACAAGCATGCCCTACAATGTGTGACAAGGATCAGTCTTGTTGTCCAAACTGGCAACTGTAATGACCACTGAATATCATTAGTCATAGAACTTAACAGGCCAAATTTATGTATATGAAAATTAGATGGTAAACTGGGACAATTTGAAAAATGGCTATAAAGAGAAACATCTCTATGTATATGTATGGGCCTCAACAAAAGAATTCCCCCCTCTGTGTGTGCATGTGTGTGTATATGTGCCTGTGAGTATGTGTCTGTGTCTGTGTCTATGTATGAATGTGCATGTCTTAGTGCGTGCCTGTGTGAGTATGTGTACATGTGTCTGTGTGTGTGTGTCTGCTTCTGTGTATGCATGTGTGAATGCATGAGTGTGTGTGTTCATGTGCATGTGTCTGTGTGTTCTGTAAAACCTTACACAGGCCAGGAACCAGCAGGCATTCAGAGGGAATTTACTGCTATTTTTGTTATCCTATGTGTCATTTTACTCATCTTGCTTCAGTTGACAATATTATAAGCAGTATCTGTTTCTGTGTGGGTTTCCCGTCATGATGAAATCTCTAGAAAATTCTGATCTGATATAGAGAGTCAGCTTACGCTTCAGCACAGGGATCGAGCAGACACGTGGTAACATGACTGTCTGAACAAAAGTGTAAGGCATAAAGTTCTCCCACAAGCATCACACCAATCCTTCCACAGAATGTTCTAGAAATTAGCACCTATGTTTTAAGAAAAGGAAGTTGAGGCTAGAAGACACACAATTCAGATTTTCTGGCTCCACAATGTTTCACAGTCTAACTCCTTCCTCTTTCATTATTTATGGCTTTTATGTAGCATTAAGTTTCATGTCATGATAACTTTTTGAGTCCTCAGAGTTAATTCAGGCATTAGGTCTAGTGAAGTGCCTTCATGAGCTCACATGACAAGTAGCTCCCTGGCTTGTTTTATCTTGTGAAAAGTTGCTTGAGATCTTGGCCAGAGATTGTATTTCTTTGCCTTATCAAAAGAGACACCATCTAAGGACAGCCAAGTCCCTGTCATAGAGTTATGATGATGTCACTCAACCCCTAAGACCTGCCTTCTAAGCCTGGAGACCAACATTCACAGAGATCTGTTTCCTCTGTTACTTCATAACACTACAGACCTGCCAAGCTGGAACCCTCCCACTGCATCTCATCCTGGGTAAAGTGTCTTCCTGGGTATTAAACCCTCAGAAGGAACGGGGAAGCCTCTCTTCTCCACTGTTGCTCATTCAAGGAACACATGAGACCTGAGGGGCGAGATGACAAGGTAAGGAAATAGAGGATTGTCCAAGCTTCTGAGAACATGAAATCATGTTGTACTTCATGTCTGTAAATTCACACACATCAGTCTAGGAAGTTACACTGAAAAGCACAGTAGAAATGGAGATCTTTGCCATGGATGACTTCCTGGGCTCTAGCCTCATCACCAGGAAGAAGGGCAGAAAGGGAAGATGGAGAGTAGACATGGAATATTTTCTTTAAGAACAATCTGTTAGAGCTGGGGGCATAGCTCAGGCTAGAGTGCTTGCCTGGTATTCGTGAGGCCTTGGTTTTGATTCCCAATACTAAAGAAAATATAAATAAAAAGAATCTATTAAGTTGGGTGTGGTGATGGATGCCTGTCATCGAAGCACTGGGAAACTAAGGCAGGAAGATTACCATGAGTTTGGAGTCAGTCTGAGCTACATAGCAAGATCCTGTCTCAAAACAACAATGACAAATCAACAACTCAAAATCTTCTTCTTCCTCCTCCTCCTCCTCTTCTTCCTCCTCATCTTTTAAATACAGGCCCTTTGACAAGTAGGGGGTGAGGCCTGCAGCTACAAGAGATCGGATGTGGCAAAGCCATTCAGTTAACTGCTCAAGGAGGAAGTGGGGCATGGTGGTTTTGACTAGAGTTTTGGAGCCGTTCAGACCTGTTCCAGACCCAGAGTTCTGCTATTCACCCACTGCATTGCTCAGGCTTGTCCCATTAACACACCGAGGCCCAGTTTGTTCATGTGAACCATTTATATACCATGTATCATGATAATGACATACAAGAACTTAACGCAGTGCCCAGATAGCTAAAGCACTCAACATACTTCAACCATCAGGATGTTTTGGGTTTTCGTGTCATTCGGACTTGTTGTATCAGGCAAGATGATTCCATTGCCCCATTCAGCTAGGATGAATAAAGTAAGGCAGAATAGCATTGCTATGATGGAATGTGTGTGTCCCTTCCCCTCAAACTGCTCCTCTGAAGCCAGATCAGTGTGATGCATTAAGAGATAATGTGGTCAGAAAGATAAAGCCTTCACACATGGGATGAGAACTCTTAGGACAATACATCCCCCACCATCCATGTAAGGACATGACAAGAAGACATCAACCGGACAACGAAGAGGTCCCTCCATAAAGCCTGACTATGCTGGCACCTGACACAAGACTTCCTGGACTCCAGAATTCTGCTTAGACCATGCCATGTTCTGCTGTAGTGAGTAAACAAGAACAAATAACTTGACCATTTAAACCCACTTTTTCATGTAAACATGAGCATATTTAATTTTGCCACTTGTAACAATAAAGGTGAAGCATACAAAAAAAAGCACCATAAATATTGAAGGGGAAGACTCATATGCCTTCATGTAGGCATACAAAGCTAAACATACAGTCCTGAGAAGTGTGCCTTCCTCCACCAAGTCCTCCTTTCAACCTTTACCTCTTCCAGGCCTGCTCAGGTCTGTTTCCTTTTCATAACTTCTTTGAGGCCCAATTTCTGCCTTTCTCTCTCCAGTTGAACTTGACACAACTTCATGTAGCTATGGTTTCTTCCCTGTGCTAGGCCCTGGGGACACAGAGCTAATTAGGAGGTAGCACTGACTCAGGAACACAGAGTTTAGCAGGGAAGACAGCTCTTGGCTGGCTCAGTTCCCACAGCTTCACGTTGAGAAGGCTCCATACATGAACTCCTGCCTTCCAATGTGAGGCTTCCTTCCTCCAAGGAGCTTTATAGCTCGCTCCTGTCAAAGGGCAAACCTCACTCTGTGTCCCTACTCTAGCAATGGCAACACCATTAGCTTCCTCTCTGGCCACCTTTTGTTTCCACCACTAAATTCCCTCTTCCTCCCCAGGTCATTCCCACTTTTAGAAGCTCACCAAACTCTACCCCCTTCAATAGAAAGAAAGAAAAAATATTAGGGGACAGCCAATTTAGTGTGTGACAATTCGTTTCTTCAGTGTGTTTTAAAATATTGCAAAGATTAATCTTGAAGTTGTGTTTGTTATTAAAGACCTTTTGCAAGCCAGGCTTGGTGGCACACACATATGATCACAGCACTGGAGAGGCTGGGACAGGAGGATCACTGCAAGCTTGAAGTGGGCTACACTGGGCTACAGTGTGAGAACAAAACAAAAAGTTTCAATTCCCAACAATATACATGCACACACACACACACACACACACACACACACAAGAAAATCAGGACATGAAGGCTGTGGAGTACATAAGTCCCTGTCTCCTCCCCTGCCTGGTCAGTTCTTTGGCATCCCAACCTTTGTGGCCAGGGCCATGGACTGTAGACAAGAGCTCTCAAGTCAGGAGAGGTAGGCGACCCAGAAGGGAGGACAAGCCACAGAATCAGCGGGCTGAGAGATTGCCTGAAAGCAAACCTATCAGACTTAGGATATGGGGCCAACTCATCTACCCAAGACCAAGAACTAGCTCCCAGGCTTTTGACTGGGTATGGGAGAGAGGCAGAGGAGAAGGCAGCATGGTGGACATTGTATGATATGTTTACCAGATTGTAACCACAAAGAACCAGCCAGAGAATGATTTGCTTATGTCAGTACAATTCTCAGTGGAGTTGCTCCTTTGGGCAACTCGTCCTTCATGGTGACAACCACACAACCCCTGGGCTCTAAGAAAGGTGGCTCAAGCAGTTCCTAGTTATTAGATTGGCATGAGAAATGATAATCTGGATGTAGAAAAGGTGACACAGTTGCTTTCAGACAATTAGGAAGGAGGGTCGGGTAGATGCACATGGCTTTGTTATTTGTAATTACGGCAGGCTTTCTCATTCTCCAAACTTGGGACTTGTCATGATTTTCACAAGTGAATATCTATTCATGTAACAGTAAAAGCTGTAAATCCTGGCTTTCCCCTTGTACACATTAACACATACATACATGAGCGCCTTTCTAATTATTTTATATCAGTCCTAAAATTAATAAATGATGGGGTTGTGTCATCCAGTTTAGAGTTCAAAGGAGTATGACTTTGTCAAATTATTGATCAGAATGTTTGTGGGTCCTCTTCTCCTGAGACATGTGACCAGTCAGAAAGCATATGCCAGGAGATGCAGGCCAGGAGATGCAGGCCAGGAGAAGGGCCCCTTGCATCTGTCCCAAGCCCTGCTGCGGTTACTTTCTAGCAGAAATATTTTTCCTTTCATCTCTGTCCTAGTGAGTGAGAAATGAATACCTGGTGTGTAACTGGAGTTCTTTGAGTGACAGGTAATATCGTAAATAAGAAATGCACTTTTGTATTTACAGAGAAAAACTATTAACTGTTCAAAATCATTTGACAGTGTTAAAATACCTTACAGTCTGGAGCTGTATTTTATACACAACTCTGAATAATGGGGAAGTGGAAAATGAGTTGCAGGGACCCATTTATGTTCATTTTAAAGTTTGATTATCTAGAATAACACAGCACACAAGTAGTTTCAACCAAATTAAATTCAGGAGCAAATAATAACACTACAGACATCTGGTTGAGCCCCAAAAGGTTATTTCCTTCATACAGCAGTTTGCCTTTGCAAAGAAAAGACTTTCCAAGCATGAAAACAAAAGCTATGTGGTTGATTATTATTTAAATAAAATGTGAGTTTAAATATGGCATCCTCGGAAAATTCACTTCATTGTCTAAGTTAGGACAGTCGTTTTAGTTTTTTTGTTGAAGACGGACTATTCGTATGGCTTCCCAAGGAATCTCTGTGGTTGTGCTGGGCAAAGAGTTCATCTGTAGAGTGGAAGTGGAAGCATCAGTGGCCAACCTACCTGATAATTCCATCCAGAAGAAAGGGTGTTCAAATGGACAAAGAAAGAGCATCAACCCCCTTGGCTTGCCACCTTCCCCTCCCCCATTAGTCTTTGAGGTACGTTCATGGATGCTGGATGCAGGACCTTGGAGTTTAGAAGATCTTGCATTCATTGATGGAGAAGAGTTTCCTTCTGTTTCGTCTCCTGGCCTGGTTGACAGCCGTTCGGACGGCACATTCAAATACCTGCTGTACTCCCCGGTTGCTAAGGGCTGAGCACTCCAGGTAGCCCTTGGCTCGCACGTCCTGGGCAAGTCTCTTCCCGTCTATGGCATTGATGCAAGAGGCCCTGTGGGGGCCCATCTCTCTCTGGTCGGTCTGTGTGGCCACAACCAGCACCGGGGTACAGGGTAGGTTGCTCCTGATCTCATTAATCCATTTGTTCTTCAAGTTCAGGAAGGAGCTATGATTTGCCACAGAGTAGCACATCAGCACTACGTCTGCCTGCTGGTAGGACAGGGGGCGGATGCTTCTGAAGGCATCATTGCCAGCAGTGTCCCAGAGGCCCAGGCTGATCTGGATGCCATCCATGAAGACGTCCACACCAGTATTCTCATACACAGTGGGCTTGTAAGCCTCCGGGAAGGTCTCAGAGGTGAAGCGCACCAGTAGTGAGGTTTTCCCCACAGCACTGTCCCCTACCAACACGCACTTGATAGAACTCAGCATCTTCCCTGTCTGAAGTCCTACTTATGAGTCCAGGATCCTAAGGAAAGTACCCTCAATGGGCTGCTGCTGCAGGCTCCATCTAGTAAGAAGACAGCAACCAGGGTTTATGTTCTCAGAATCTCAGACATCAATTATAGATGTTACTTCTCCTGTCCGCCCAGGTGAGAGACAGCAGCTGCTTGGAAAAACCTCTGAAGCTTGGTTGCCAACTGGAACAGAAAGAGAATGGGGGAAACTGAGGTTATCTCTTCTGATGACAAAGAGCCTCCTCATTGCCAAAGTAATTAAAACTGAGGGTCCTACCTCAGGGTAGCTGTTAAACCCTATTCATCCAGTCCCATCAATACCCTTAGAAAAATAAGTTAAAGCCTGTCACCCAACACTTAGCACCTATAACATTTCCTGGCCAAGAGACAGGAGTACTTTGTCCTTAAAAATCAGTCCTTGAGGCCAGGCGTTGGTGGTGCACGCCTTTAATCCCAGCACTCGGGAGGCAGAGGCAGGTGTATCTCTGTGAGTTCGAGGCCAGCCTGGTCTCCAGCGAGAGTGCTACACAGAGAAACCCTGTCTTGAAAAACAAAAAACAAAAAAAACAGCAACAACAACAAAAAAAAAAAACAGTGCTTGAATGACAGTTATAGTGATGCCCATGTCTAATCCCAGATCCAAGAGGCTGAGGCAGGAGGATCCTGAGTTAGAAGCCAGATCAAGCTACATAACAAGAGATCCTACTGAGAGAGAAGTGGGGGGGAGGAGGAGAGAACAAGAGAGAAAAGAGGAAGGGGAGGAGAGGAGAGGAGAGGAGAGGAGAGGAGAGGAGAGGAGAGGAAAGGAGAGGAGAGGAGAGGAGTTTGGTAATGATAACACAAGGAACTGCTCTGGTCACCACATGAAAAATGATTCAGTTGCCCACCTGGTGTGTAAATGACACTTGTGAACAGCTCTTAACTGGCTAAGAAACAGGAAGGCAGCTAGGTGAAGGCAGCTGGGCGTGTGTGGCCTCAGGTTCTAGTGGATTGCAGGCACTTTGGGCAACTGCAAGGAAGAGAAATTAATAAGGGATGAATACCATGTATAATTTCCTTCCCTTGTTGGGTAATTGTCCAGTCCTTGGTTTACTCGGGAACACTAACAATTTGCTGTGGTTTCTCGCTGAGATTCTTTGGTAAGGTTGGTTAGATGGGAGGACCCTCTGTGGGGTTCTCTGCAGCTAAAATCAGGCTTCATTACCTACAGAACAGGGTGTAGCTTTCAACGTGTTGTTTTAACTCTATGTCTAGGTTTATATGTATGTAGGACTGTGATGCGTTTAGAGACATAGAAATTAAGTTCTTTCTTCAACAATTTGGCATCATCCCCTGCTTAGCAGACCCTGTTCCACAGCCCCTAACTAAACAAAACAACTTGCTCAAAAACAATTATATTCACCAACAGCTTTTAAACAGGACAGCACAATATGGCAGGACCTGAATTTTATGAAAGATCTAGATGGATTCTCATTTGTTTGTGGGTTGGAAAGCTCCAAGCAAAAAGTGCAGTCTTGAACACAGCTCTCTGCTGGGTACATTCTCTCAAGGCCAGCCCATCAGGCAAATGAAGGGTCTTCCAGACCAAAATTCAGAGTAAAGGTTGTTAATGCATAGGCCTTATTAACCTACCTGATATCAATCGTCCCAGCATACCTCACATAAAGCACACCCAAGGCAGACCTCTGTAAAAGGCAGCTTTTAAAATTACCCTTCTAAATCCTAAGGATTCCCCCAAAGACCTTTTATATCCTTGTCAACTAGCAGTGTCTGCTTAATTAGACATGATAGCCTTGGCAAATGAGTTAGATAAACAACACATTATTTTTATGAATTCTTTTTTTTCTGAACACACAAACTATGTGACCTTGATCAAGTTACTTAACCTGTCTGAACTTAGGTTTCCTCCAAAAATGAGCTGGGGGGGGGGGGCATCATGGTCTCTGACTTCACACTGAAGATGCCCAACCTTGAATGTCTCTGGTTTAGGGGCACAATGCCACATGGCCTGGATACCCATTTGTCACCAGATCTTTTTTTTTCTTTTTTCAAGATTTATTTATTAAATATACAGTGTTCTGCATGTGGTTGCTGGGAATTCAACTCAGGACCTCTGGAAGAGCAGCCAGTGCTCTTAACCTCTGAGCCATTTCTCAGCATGGCATTCTTAACAACTTAAAAAATAACACACACACACACACACACACACACACACACACACACACACTCACACACACACACACACACACACACACACACACACATCAAACCCTACATTATTATGCACTAAATAAAAGGACATGAGGAAGTTAGTCCAAATGAACCTGTCAATAATCTGTACTGTAGACATCTGACTATGTTTAAAGAAAAGCTACCCCCTTAGTGATATATGAACTCTGTACCCAAGAAACCCGGCCCCCTCAATGTGGTTGCTTACAGATTCTTACCACTAAGTCTGCCCACTTTTCTGAGTTTAACCTGAAGAAGTATTGTCTTTGACGAAAGGGCTCCAAATGTCTCAGTTGGACTTTATTACCCTGGGTCTATAGATAACCTAAACATGAATTTGTGACTTTGTTTACAGCTAGCACCACCTTATTTAATTTTTTATGCCAAGTATAGCAGGACAGAGTTAGTAAAATGGTGCACATGTCAGATTTTGTGGATTATTTCAATGAAATATTTTTAACAGATTTATAGTCAGAGTTCCTGAGGGAATATCTTTGAAAAGACATCCCTAAGATGTCACATTAAGAATGTGAGGAAAAGGCAGGTAGATTTACAATGGAATCTGAAAAGCCTAATTAGCTGCCTGCATAGTTGCATTCAACAAGTTTCTTAAACTCATGATGCCTCTGTTTCCTCCTGGTAAAAACCAACGTAACAATATCGACCTCCCATGGTTGTTGAGAGTACCCTGTGGGCTTAAATCCTTTGCCTAACACATCATGTGAACACACTGTGTGTATACAGTAAACACTATGCATTCCTTATTATCAGCAACATTTGTTAAGTAGTCATCACTAAATATAATGACAAGCAATTATTCATTCACATGAGCAATTTGAAGCATCTCACTAAAGAGATTTCTTTGGCAAAGAGTGCACTGGGTACCCTTATTCATAGAAATAAAACCAAAAAGCAAGACAGAAATTTCTTCTTACAGTACAAAAATAAAATAGTACATGAATGAAGAAATGCTGAAATGTGTCTCCATAGGGCTCAAAAAAAAAAAAAAAATGCCAGCCAGGAGAAAAAGGCTCTGTTTGGAGTAAAGTGACCTTCCCACACTGCCCATCATGACGAGTGACACATTCGGGGCCTCTGTTCCCCCAAGCTATAATCGGTTAGGCACGGTGAGCTTTCCCAGTGGCCCCACTAAGACTGAAGCCAAAGGAAAACCTTTACTGCCTGACCCAGTAGCACAAGAACCAAAGCCCTGAGCTATTCTGTAAGGTGCAGTGACAAGCCAGGTCTTTAGCAGATCAGATGGCCATAGATGGAGCTGGGGGAGAGGCAGAAGATACACTGGTCCAGGCTAGAGCAACTCCCTATATAGACATGATCTTCAATCTCTAGCATTTGTCACATCCATCCTCGGGATAGCCACTGTGGCCCACATAGGCAGCACGGAGGCTGGTGGGCTTTCTGTGGTTCTCCTGAAGGACATTATCCCTTACACTGCTTGTAGGTGGACAATAAAAGGGAGTTTTCAGCAGTATGTCATGAGTGGCTAGCTGGCTAGGTATCTACTATAAGGCTCTTTTGGGAAGAGTTATTTCAAGCATCCTCTGAGATGTTTTAAGCAATACCCTTGAGTAGCAGTTACACTGTATATCTGGGGCTTCAGACTGGAATGAATGAGCCTCCAATCCTGGTATGTCTGAGTCTCATCTCCTTAGCTTGTTTTCCTTTGTTCTTTTCCTACTGTTTCTGAAAAAAAAAAAAAAGGCACCTTTGGCATTTTTGGCAGTATTAGTATTCAGGCATCTATCTATACTGGCCTGTCATTGGGGTTTTGACAGGATACACCCTCAGCTGCAGCCACTAAGAGCACCACCTGTGCATATTCACTATGTTCCCTCTTTAAAAGGCCCTGCCCACCTCCCATCCGTCCCCCCATCTCTGTCTGATCCCCCCTCTCTCCCTCTCCTCCATTTCCTGTCTCTCCCCCTCTTTCCTTTCTCCTCTCTCCTGCTGCTCCTGTCTCCAGAAGCCAGTCTCCCTCTTCCCTTTCCCCTTTTTTTTATGATTTCTTTCCCTAATAAAAACCCCTCTACTTGAACCCTGTCTTTCTCTCTCCAGCAACCTTTCTTAAATTACAACAGGCAGGTCTCCACAGTTCAGACACAGACTCACATGGAACAGGACCACCATGCGACAAAAGCAAGGTGCTGGTCCTTCTGCCTACTCTGACGAAAGAACAAAGGGAGGTAGAGGAGGACTTAGGGTGTGAGCTATGCTAATCCTCTGAGGTCAGACACTTGCCTCAACTCTCACCTTGCAGATAGACTTTATTTCTCACTAGACTCCTTCCATAGACAAACTCAGTGATTTTTCTAGCAGCGGAAAATTTGCCCCTCAAGCCGGGAGGTGGTGGCGCCCACCTTTAATCCCAGCACTTGGGAGGCAGAGGCAGGCAGATCTCTGTGAGTTCGAGGCCAGCCTGGTCTACAGAACGAGTTCCATGACAGCCAGGGCTACACAGAGAAACCCTGTCTCAAAAATTAAAATAAAAAACCTGCCCCTCACTCGCACCAAAGCACTACCATTCTCAAAAGTCTTCCTTGACCCCTCCCCCACCTCCCATTGTCACTCCTATGTGCTATCTCACGTGTGCTGCTTTGTCCCCATAATTTCCCCTATGTTTACTGGACAACAAAATCATCACACAGCTGAGATGGCTAGCCTCATTGTAAAACTAGAACCAGATCACGTCTTCACAGGGAGCGTGTGAGGACCAGGTGTAGAGGG